GTGGAGCCAATGAGAATCGATAAGGGAATTGATAAGGTATTGAATCTTTAAGCGATATCAATAATAGAATCTGAATCGCTAAATTCTTAGCAATTCCCATCCCAACTCGCAAAAAGATGTGAACATTTCAATCTTGTAGCCTCTGTACTGTGATTTGTGTGTGTGGGAGGTGGGGGGTTGTAGCTCAAGTCATTTCCATACATATAAAGTACGTGCATTATTTTAATGCACGTGCATTAAAATCAACAAAAGTTTAAAAGACAACACCGAGCAGTGATCTTTAAAATAGATTTTATTTATCATTTTGTAACAGTTTACGATACACAGCTGACAGGACTAAGACATTTCAATGAATTTTGGCCCTAAAGGTTGAAGAACACGAAGAACAGACATGGTTAGATACACAGACAGATATGATAGAAGGTACCAGAAGAACTGTGCTCTTTTCTTTTCATTTTTTCTTTTTACTTGTGCTTTTCCCCCCCTCCACTCCACCCATGAAACAATTCACATTGGCATATCAACAACAAAGCAATGTCCTTCAGCCAGAACACTGAACGGACATGATTTACTTTTCTTGTTTTGTTTAATTTTTTAAAAAAATGGAAGTTTGAGTTATTATTGTAATTATATATTTATACATTGTGTTGCTTATATAAACACTCATGATCTCTTTAAAGTGCTGTGACATGACATTATGCTTTTATGACCAGTAGTAAGAAATACAAGAGGTAATGTTTTGTAATTCACAGAGAAAGCAATGCAAAATGCAAAAATTTTTTTGTTTTTTTCACTACAGTGGAGCAGTTGTCCTGCAAACCTTTGCCTAGCTAATGTTCTTCATCAACACCAGTGACTTTCTGCACAGCCGCCAGCAGTGGAAAGCGATGGTAAGTAGTCAAGTTTTATCTTTCTATTCATGCAGTTATCAAGAAATCATAGTTAATCAAAACCAAACAATAGATGGACCCATTTCTGAAACATATGCCATGTAATTTGCCTACATTTCCACACAAAACAACATTACACGCAAGAATAAAAACTGTGTATTCCTGATGTCGATTCCATCGTGGTTGCTGAGTAATTTTGGTGTTCTGATTTCATAATTTTTTTTTGTTTTTAAGGACTACACAGAAAAAAAGGCAAACTGTTCACACTGAGGGCCACAGGATATTAAAAGTAAACAGTGATGTATGACTGTTGGCACTGCACAGATGAAAGTCAATGTAATACTGTTAAACACACACACACACATACAAAAAAAAAAAAAAAAAGCATTGTCATGTAGTGGCTGCCACTGTCTACACCAGAGCACACAGTAAAAACTAACCACTCTTTTGTAGTTCAAGTTTCAATACAAAGCTTTTTGTTTGGCAATGCTTTTGTTAATACCAGCTGGCTTCGTCGGAATTTCTCTGTGGATACAGTGTCAAAAACCAACAAAAAGTTGCGTCACTGAACGTGGATAAACGACGGTTAAAATCAGAGGATAAAATATGTACTTGTCCTTCTTTTAGTACAAAAGATAGACTGTATATGATTAGCAGAGTAGGACTAGATTAGAGGTACATGGACATCAATACTGACACTACGCCTGCTCTACATGCAGGCTCAGCAGTTAGAGCTAATCCACTACACACAATACACAGTACACTCGACATTTTCTACATTACACTACAAATCAGGGGGAAAAAACAACAAAAAAACCCAAATAAAAACTGAAAACAACAACAACAACAACAACAACAAACACAACAACAAAAAACCTCAGTCGATATCTGCCCCTCAAGACCCAACCCCCTAAAAGAAAGAAAAGAAATGAACACCCACCCCAGAAATAAAAGCAAAGTAAAACACGCACAGTCTGATTATATACGTTTTTCTTTACATTACTGTACAATGTGAGGAGGAGATGCGGGGGCCAGCAGAGGTGGCCAGGGTTGAAATATATAGAGATAGCATTGCAGCAGGCTGGCTAATCTTCACTTATTACAACATGAACACAACGAGGCAGGCAATCACAGACAGGACGTGGTCTGAGCTACAAGCTGTCCCAACATACACTGAGAATAATCAAGTTCTTCATCATCTTTTTCAGCAAGCACGACTTTACCTATAAAGCAGACTTTCTAACCTATCCAACGTGGTAGGTTAAGCTAGGTTAGCAGATGGTGATAATGTATTGTTTCACAGAGCACCTGGTTTTGGAGTAATTTAATTAGAAATAAACACTAATCACCCCCCTGCCAAAAAAACAAAACCACATGTAGCCTGATAGTTTAGGAGTAAATCAGAACCAGAGGGTCCAAACAGTCAGCTAACCAACTGAAGTTCATCTACAAGAACAGCTTCCTATCAGTTTTCCTTTCCTGTTCAAAAGCTCCTTAAATACGATCAGTAGAATTGTGCTCATCTTAGAATGATCACTGTGCTTATTGGGCTCTCTTAATGTTTCTTTCAGGATATTTAGCCTCTTCAGCCAACTTTTCCACCCCCCAATCTTGTGCTCCATCTTGTGGATTACTGGAGCAACTGCGCTGATATACTAAAAAACACTTTCTGCTTCTGAAGAAACAAGTGTGGGGACCTGAACTTGTTTCTTGACATTTTATTGGTCACAGATGCAATTAATGACGGCTCAGTTCCATTAAGAGTAGAAGTAAGCTGTGAAAGTGCTCTGGCACGGTCAAAAGAAGGCCCTCCAATAAAGCAGTATGTAGCTTTTCTGCGCTTTTCCTAGAGTCACAAGAATATGTGCAAGTCCATGGTGACATTGTGCTTAAATACATCTGATATAGGTATGTACTGAATCATTTACCATTTTTGGGAGTGTGCTTACTCTAAGTTCTTACTGAAAGTTAAAGACTGAATACACTACAGCTTGTGTTAGCTAAGCTTACAGCGTTAGCTTAGGCAACTGTGACTGTGTAGAAAAATTCACATCCTGCTCTTCAAATGGCCACTAATTAAAAATGAATTTGCTATATTTCTTCTTAATATTACTTTTTTTTTTAAAACCGAAAATGAAATAAGTTGCCTGTTAATGACTGAGACACCAGTCAAGGCACAGCGCTGGGCTAGCTGTAGTCCAGTTGTTATGCTAATGTAAGCCAACTATAGCTATGAGATTGGCATCGATATTCTACTCTAATTCTGAGCAAAAAAGTGAATATGGTTTCTACAAATAAATATGGGGAATATAATAGACAGTTTGGTTTATTATACTAACATGTTCACTGCCTGCACATCACAGCCCTCATTTAACCAGTCTGGATAATCTGACAAACTATAAGAACCTGGAGAGACAACTTTGCCTTTCAAGCTAAAAGCATCTCACAACATCTAAGGAGGAGTGAATAGAAAACCCTTGCCTTGTTCTTCCTTCACACCACCATATAAATCTCTGACATCACACTTATACAGCAGTCTACCAGAGGCCTTCTGGTCTCCGGGGAAGCCCGACCCTGCATGCTAAAGAGTCCACTCCCTAATGCGTGTCACCCTCCGACATAACCACAATAAGTCAAGTAACAGATGAGGAATGGTAAACACGGTTAAAGGTGATTCCGTAGTGTCACTTTTTTTGTACAAAATAAACATATGCGGCCGTTACTATTTACTAAGTTTACAAGAATGAGAGGTAATAAAGAGACGTCTAGCGAGACAGTACTATGCAGCTACATGTAAAACTACATCAATGAAAAGGTTTTCCTTCTGGAAAGAAGCAGCATCTTCTCTGCTTTCCGTCTCTGCCAGTTACAGCACAGCTTGGCTCAGAGCTTTTAAAAACAAATGTCTGTAAATACATTAAAGGTTTACACTGACTGTAAGTGACTGACGTTTCAGTCTCTGAGAAACATGTGTTACCAAAAACATGTGTAGGACTCAGGTAACTTAGGAAATGTTTTTGGTAACATGCCTGAATGGGGCAGATTGCTACGACCCATAGGACACACAGACTACGGCACACTTTTTAATACTTCCTAGCCTGGATTCTCCTTCACAGATCACATCTCATGATGAGTTTCACTCAAACAGAATTTCTGGAAGACTTAATAAGAGATGGCACTTCTATATATATATATATATATATTTATATACTTGTATATACGGAGTTGCATTGACCTGGTTTGCGTGTATGTGTATGTGTATGCGTTTTTGGACAACAAGGAAAGTCCCTAAAATCTAGAACAGGCCAGCTCAGTCGAAGCACTAGCGAGGAACCACAAAGTTCACCTTCGCTTCGATCCAGAGAAATGGGCACTGGGACCTCTTCTGTTAAAAATAATGATTGCATGTCTGTTTATGTGTGCACATGTATGCGAATGCAGAGTTACAGTACAGTTCACTGATGTTTCTCTGCTTAAGGTTTAAGCAGCTTTAGTAGAAGGAAAAAAGTTACCAGTGGAGAAAATTTCCAGAGAAAATAAGCAAGTGTCAGTTGTCATCTTGGGTGTTTGTTAAATATTTGTGCTCTTTCGATTTTTTTTCCTTTATAAGAAGAAGCAGCATAAAAAAAACAACAGGCTTAGTCTTAAACTGAGATCAACTACGGTTGAGGTCACTGTGTGCTGTAAAATATACAGATTGTATGAGTGTGAATGAGAGTATTCGCCTCTTTTTTTTGTCTGGCTAAACAACAGAGCCTTTTACCATCTTTGTCAGACTGTAAATGGCCCGTACAGGCACATTTTACCCTTCTCCTCCATGTTACAGCACCACAACAAGTCTCCAGCTGCCGCTACAAAGTCGCCCATCCCAAACAGAACCAGCTAACGGTATAAAGGAGAACAGTGTGTGTCTCTATGCTGCTGCATGCACAAAAACATAACCATGCAGCATCACAATCTACTGTACCTCTAATGGCATATGAAGATGACGTATACAAGTTTCACAAAAAAAAAAAATGAAAGGAACCAAGAGGCTGGATTC